GAACTTGAGAGCTGGATTAATGAAAAGTTGCAAACCTATGCAAATGAGGATTTCAAGGAACTGAGTAACCTCCAGGTAAATTATTTAGTGACTGACTGTTTGGCTAGGCCAAAAAACAAAAGCATCAGGCTTTTGAGCTCGAAGTCACTGCTCACTCAGAGACACTATCAGCCTTAGATTCTTCAGGTGAAGAGATGATAGGGCAAGGACATTATGCTTCTGAGATTATTAAGGTAAGGGCTTTCTCTGCGTATCTACGTAACATTCATAGAACCGGCTCGATGAGTTGCACGCTCTTTGGGAAAGGTTGATAACCATGTTCAGAGAAAAATCGCGTCTCATTAACCTGACTCTTAAGTTCGTTCAGTTCTTACGTCAGGTCGATGAGATACTTTTCTGGACACGTGAGAAGGAGACTTACGTAACTTCTGAAGATTTCGGTCAGGATTTAGAGCACGTTGAGGCACTACAGAAGAAATTTGACGAGTTTATGAAGGTTTGTCATTGTTTGGTGGTTAATATTTTTTAGGACCTTGAGTATCAGGAAAGTCGTGCAGAAGACATTTACCACAAAGCAGATGAACTTTTGAAAGAGGAATTTCCTGAAGACACCTTGGTAATAGAAAAGTCACGTGAGGTTCGTGAAGCACTAGAACGTTTAAAAAATCTGGCTAAGATGCGCCAAGATAAACTTCTTGAAGCCTATGAAATACAACGTTTCTTCCGGGATACAGATAAAGCCATATCGTGGGTAAATGAAAAGTCTATTCCTCTATCTATTGAAGACTGTGGTCGTGACTTGGCTTCAGTTCAAGCATTGCAAAGGAAACATGACGCTTTGGAGAGGGATCTAGCTGCTTTGGATGAAAAGATTGGCCAACTAGGAGATGATGCTTTGGCTCTTGCACAGAAACATCCAGACTCTAAAGACACAATTCAGGGTAAATATGAGGCTTTAATTGCTGCTTGGGAGAAACTTAAGAATCAATTTGTGGATAGAAAAAGTAAACTGGAAGAGTCTTTCAAGATGCAGCGTTTTCTCGCCGATTGGAAAGACCTAAGTATTTGGATGACAGACATGAAAGGGTTGATCTCTGCTGATGATCTAGCAAAGGATGTGGCTGGTGCTGAAGCCCAAGTAGAACGCCATAAGGAATATACTGCGGAAATTAACTCGCGAAACGATAGTTTCGACACGTGCATGTTAGAGGGTCAAGCACTGATCAGTGTTGGCCATCCATCTAGCGGGGAAATCGCTGCAAAGCTTTCCAATTTGGAAAGAGAAAAAGCTGCCCTTCTGGAACTATGTGAAGAGAGACGCGGGCAACTAGAACAATGTATGGGTCTTCAGTATTTCTATCGGGATGCAGAACAGTCAGAGTCTTGGATCGGAAAACAAGAAGCACTTTTGGAAATCAAGGATGTTGGCGATTCTCTCGATTCCGTTGAGGCACTTATTAGGAAGCACGAAGATTTTGAGAAGTCGTTGTTAGCTCAAGAGGAAAAGATGCATCATTTTGATGAGTTGGCAAAGAAACTTATAGAAACGAATCACTACGCTGCTACACAGGTCACAGAGTTGCAGCATTCTTTGGAAGATAGACGAAGAGCCTTGAAGGATAAAGCTAAGAGGCGCCGTCAGCGTCTTGAAGATTCTCACCGTTATCAGATGTTTGATCGTGACGCCGATGAAATGCAATCTTGGATATCGGAAAAGCTAAAAAATGCACTTGATGAAAGCTATAAAGACTCAACTAATTTACAGACAAAAGTTCAAAAACATCAGAACTTCGAAGCTGAGATACAAGCTAACCAGTCTCGTGTTGAAGATATTAAGAAAACAGGTCAAGATTTGTTAAACGCAAATCACTGCAATTCAGCTGAAATAAAACTAAAAATCGACCAGTTAGATGAGACTTGGACTTATCTTATAAATGCTATGGCGAACAAGAAGAAAAATTTGGATCAAGCCAGTCGACAACAACAATTCGTCCGCAATGTTGAGGATGTCGAGTTGTGGTTAGATGATGTTGAAGCCCAAATTGCATCAGAAGATGTTGGCCGAGACCTTAACGGAGTAATGAATGCACAGAAGAGACTCAACTTACTAGAATCTGATGTTGCTGCCCATCGTGAGCGCATAGAAGCATTCAAGGTTCAAGCTGACACATTTGCTTCTGAGGGTCATTTTGATGCTCCCATAATCCAGGAGAAGCAGCGGCAGCTGTCCCAACGTTACTACGATTTGCAGAAACCATTAAATCAACGCCGTGAAAAACTGTCAGATGCTTACAAGTTGCACCAGTTCTTTAGGGATGTTGAAGACGAGGAAGATTGGATTCGAGAGAAAGATCCAGTCGCGGGCTCCACTAATGTAGGTAAGCAGAAAAATTAATTATTTAGTCGGCACCCGTTCCCCGTACAGATATGTGCGGTTTTTATGTGCCGTAAAGCAATTAGCTTCTTTTCACAGCAGTATGCAGTAGCAGTATGCTGCCTTTTGCAGATGCTCATATGTTTTTACCTCTGATATCCGATTTTATTTTTTAACGATATATGTATGGACTGTTGTCACTAAAACGTTTTGATAAATCATCCTGAGACCCGAGACAAATATGTATTGGCTAAGGTCTACATATGTACTGATTTGCTTCAACTTCTGGTCGGTACACAACCGTGCATGGTTCTACATTGTTAATGGTTGGCTTCGGTTTTTGTATGCTCAACCATAAAAACAGGACTCCACAAGTAATATCAAGTCGAAAATGCACCAAACAGATGTTTTTTAATGAATTAGGCAAACTCATATCATATTGGGGTCAGTACATACCAAATATCAGGTCATGGAATACTGTACTTATCGGGTAAAGTCCGTTTTTCTGTTCTGATTGTTCGAAATGCTTTCTGCTTAAGTCACTGTTAGCCCCATTCACGTATCCGTTGGTTGTAAATTAAAATATGTATGTGGTAACCCATCTATACTTGCGTTGATAATCTTGTGGCAGTTCGTTGTACTGTCAGTCAGTCGTAGTTAATGTGCGTTAATCCGGACTTTTAAGCCTCATCACAACGAAAGGAACTCAACAAGATAAACAGTAATGTGGTCGAATAATCTTAGTGGTGGCGATGGTGAGAATGACTAAATATTGTGAATACAGTTAGTAAGCCACAACATGGAACCTGTACGTAAGTATAGGTTCAAGTTGCCATACCCCATTAGCACAGAGATGAAGTTTGCAGACCGAATCCGAGAATGGTAGGGGTCATAACAGTGTCCGTCGTAATTGAAAGACTAGACATTGGAGATACGACTCGTGAAGAAAATATTAATAAGCTAGACAAAAAAAGTAATGAGGAATGTAGTAACTCAGGATTTGGAGCACGACAAAGAATGGGTGCAGCTGCACTATCACAAATGATTCGGAGCCATGTCATTTAATGTCTCTAACCGTTGGTTACGGTAATCACACGAATCCTGACCAAGTAGTCTGCAACTATTAACATGGCTTAGTCTAATTGTCAGTGACTCCATCGATTGATGCCATGTTTTGGTGTGGCCACCCCTAACTTCCAGCATACCTTTGCACCAAAAAACCGCCCGTTGAGGTAGGCTGTGGTTTGACATATGGTTTGAAAAGACGAAGTAGGAAGGCATGTATGGTGAATTAATGGAGGTCGGGACCTAGAAAATGATAAACAAGAAATTCTGTGCTCTGCTCTGAACAATGTCATACCAGTGTTGCCAGCCAGTAGTCGCGGTTGTCACTGAATTCCAATCACTTATTCTACACCTACCGACGTGGATCAGAGAAACAGTCAGTTATTCCATGGATTAATCGCACATGTTGATTTGTTCGCTCGTAGCTCGTATCCAACTTGCTCCTACTCCAACTGTAGTCTTTTCAACTTCATAACCCAGGGTACTACCAATTAACGGATATCTTCACGTTTATAGATTGTTGGATATAAACAGACATGACCCTTTCCGAAAGAGGTTCTAAATCACGGTTTGTGACTTTCGTGTAGCTTGTTACATAACTTTTACGGAGTTTGTCGTTATTTGCACTTATCGTGACAGTGCTACTCTAACTCAGGAATCGTGTACAAATTTATGTACTCGGCTTGAAAGATCAAACAATCCTGTTCAGTTTCCAAAACTGAAATAGACACTAACCCAAAAGCCGGGAGTCGAGTGCTGAACTCACAACTATTCCAATTATATAGTAAAACGATTATACTCGGAAAACTTTGGTTTTTAAACCTGGTCGCTTAGATAACTAACTTTCTTCAGTTGGTCGGAGATCGCTAATACACCCTTTCGTCTTCTTTTATCACCTTCAGCTGTTTCACATTTGTTAGATTTTGTGTTTACAGTCGGTTCACATTCCCCTATTTCATTTGTTCGGTGCCATATCTTTGTTTCTTTATTATTGGTATTATCGTTTTAGCTCTATTGCTCTACATTGTATTGTGATGTCTTAGACCGGTGTACATTCGGTATCAAGTTCTACTTTGTGTGTATCGATTATTTTGAGTAGTGGATAAGAAACCTAACAAAAAGTTAGAATATTCCTTGTGTTTTTGATGAGTTAAGTAAATTATATCTATTTCAAATACAATATTTCAAATTTAATTATGCATTCAGGTGGCCTCTACTACTTCATTGTTTTCGAATGTATCTATATATGCCTCCCCCTAACTGATCATTTTAAATATATTTCAGGTCGTGATTTGATTGGCGTACAGAATTTGATAAAAAAACATCAAGCAATATATGCGGAAATAAATGGTCACTCACCACGCATTGAGGAGGTTGTTGAAGAAGGTCAGGCCATGATACGCGCCAACCATTATGGGGTAATGACATTGAAAGACGTATAACCGATTTAACTACCGATTGGTCCCAACTTTGTGAAAAGGCAGACCGTCGACGACAGCTGTTGGAAGATTCATTGCAGGCCCAACAGTACTTTGCTGATGCAAGTGAAGCAGAAAGTTGGATGCGAGAAAAAGAACCATTGGTCGGTTCGTCCGAGTTTGGTCGGGATGAAGACTCTACGGAAGCACTCTTGAAAAAACATAACGCTCTCCTTGCCGATATTGAGGCATATGGTTCAACCATTGAAGCTCTCGGCATTCAAGCTAGTAGTTGCCGGATGCAGGAAGCCCCAGTAAGTGATCTACTCGGCAAAGATGTAGTTATTGCTTTATATGACTACCAAGAAAAGTCTCCTAGGGAAGTTTCAATGCGTAAAGGAGAGATCTTAACCTTGCTAGCCAGTAACCACAAAGACTGGTGGAAAGTGGAAGTGAATGATCGCCAAGGATTTGTTCCTGCAGCGTATGTCAAGAAAGTTGAGGCTCCTGTTTCTGACACTCAAGCTGGTTTAGCAGCCAAGCCACTTACTGTAGCGTCGCAGCAGCAACGTTTGGAGGAGCAATACAATTATCTTCTTCAACTGGGTCGTGATCGTCGAGAGAGGTTACAGGATTCCGTCGAAGCCTACCAACTAGTTAGAGAGGCTAACGATTTACATCAATGGGTAGTTGAGAAAGAACTAGTTGCTGTCACGGAGACCATCGTTCCTGGAAGACTAGAGGAAGTAGAGTCAGAGAAAAAGAAGGTAGATGAGTTTGTTATGGAACAAAAGGAAAGAGAAGCTAGAATAACAGAATTGTGTGCCAAGGCAGATAAACTCAAGCGAGGTGGCCAGACTGAAGCTGTTGAGAAGATAGAAGGTATTATCATGCAACTCCAAAAAAAGTATGAACAGTTAGAAGAAGTCACTGCCAAAAAAGCTAAAGAATTAGAAGATATAGATGCCGTTCAACGCTATCACAGAGAATGTGATGAAGCGAAAGAATGGATTGAAGAGAAGGAGAATAGATTACTAACAGATGATGTAGGTAATGACTTCACATCTGTTCAGCGTCTTATACGTAAACATGATGCATTAGAAAGGGACCTGGTAGCTTTGGGAGAAAGGGTTAAACAATTAGATTCAAAAGCTGCTGACTTGATACAGATCCATCCTCAGGATGCAGAAGCTATATGTACACATCAAGAAGAGATCAACCATTTGTGGGATGGTCTAGCTGCAACTGCTGAAAAACGAAAAGCCAAACTTTTAGATTCCTTAGATCTCCAAAAGTTCCTCGCTGATGCAAGGTAATAATTACTCACAGTTATTTATGTATATATCATGCTATATTCCGGATAAATATAAGATTATCTAGTTTCACTCGGTAATTATGGTCTAGTTGTTCAGCTGTTGGTCGAAAGTTTGCTAGACCTACCATTTCACACAGGAGGCTTTAAACCATGTTTTCTGTGGCCTAGTAACATTTCTAGAGTAAATGTAGTAAGTTTCTAATTTACGAATAGATAATTAAAAGTTAAACAATTTAACTATTAACCTATTGCTCATGTAGGTGGTACAACATGCAACCCTTAGACTAGTATATTTACTCAAGTTGTTAATCTATAATGGTAAATAAACTAAGGGTTGATATAGTTTAACGCTTCTAAAAAAAGCCCAGAGAAATAGGGGGTTGACTAAACGTATAATAACGAGCTTTTAAAATATACGAATGTACTTTTATCAACAAGTACCTTTCAACCCATCCGAAATTTATAGTCGTTACCCTAGTTTTCGTAATTTTGCTTATGAGATGAGTTTTGAAATAGTGCTCTTTTCCTAGGTATTAAGTTACTGTTTTCCCTTTCAGCTACATAATCCTACTTTTGAAGAATATTTTTGAAAGTACTAATCAACTAGTTTTCCGTGCTATTTACTTCCGATACTGACTTATTAGAGCAACTTACGTCTCTTCGTACATCTGACATATAAAGATGTTCGGTTTTATTGGGTCCCACAGATGTCAATAATAAACGGACGTTTAATTATTATTGTCTCTAAGCTTAATTTAAAACACGTTATCATTTGAGTAAATTAAACTAAAGCTTGATATTCTGATCTCTTAACAAATAGTAATTCCGTTTGTTTATATATAACTTTTTGTTTTCAGGGATCTCCAGTCTTGGATTAGTACAATGAATGGTTTGGTATCGTCAAAGCAAGTGGGCACATATGTTACAAGTGCAGAATCGTTGTTAGATAGTCACCGTGTAAGTCATCTCATTTACATTATTTATTTTCACAGGAATACCGCACGGAAATCGATACTCGTGCTCCAGCTTTTCAAAACTTCGAATCCTTCGGTAAGGAGTTACTTGATAATGGACATTATGCTTCGGAGGTCGTACAGCAAAAACTCCAAGAAATCACAGAAGCAAGAGAAGCTCTTAATGTGTAAGTTAATACTTTTATGAGGAAAATAAGTGCTTTTTGTGTACAGTTTACACTTTCTTCCTAAATAATGAGTTCCCAATTTCAGTTGCACTTTCGGAGAACATAATTTGGTTCTTTGGACCGTGTAATAAATCCTCATGTCATCTTATTTTAGTTAAAATATGGATATAAATTCGTATGTTTTTTAACATTTACCAGGCTTTAGTGCTTACTATTTATACTGATAAACCATTCAGTATTAACCAAAATTATTTTATTTGTTTGAACCCAAATATTCGTACAAAGAGGCACCAAGTACATATGCGCCACATTAATCACTTGATTTGTGTGAGGGCTGAAATATTGGCCGGGTGCCCGAACCGAGGCAGGTGGTTTTCTTAGAGGGTCACGCCCCGAACCTTTGACTTAAAGGTCTGATCCACAAGGCAGTGGAGAAACGTCAGGAGATAGTCCCGTGGTAGCGGGTGACCAACATTAGTTTCACACGCCATTTGTTCCTTCAGGATTCTGGAGCCCATGTGCACCACTGATTTGAAATCAGGGTTTTCCAACTCCCCTAGGTGAACCGTCCGTGTCGACTAACCCGGTTAAAGCGCTGGACATTCGCTTTTCGTCTTCTGAATTTCGTAAACACCCCCGTCACTAGGATGTAGTGAGTAGGACTTCCCTGACAATGGTTGTATGCACGTGGCCATGTGAGGGCATAACACTAGTAGGCCATTCTAACAATTCGTATTATTTCAGACTTAAAAACTTCCATGATTATTTGCCTCAGCTAAAAGACCGCAACGAACCACAAATAAAACATCTCAGTTTATGCGAAACTAGGTTATTTGTGGTATAATACTGAGTAACACGTATACAATTAATCGGCTGTATCAACGAAAGAAACCTATCATATCTATTTATTTCGTTCAATCAATTGTGAGAGCATTTCGAGAGGGAGAGCTAACCCTCCTCACCCTCGGCAGTACCAGGGCATTTGGGGCCAGGCTCCCACATGCAAAATGGGAATGTTCCCAACTAAGATACTAATCAGCTACAATGAAATTACCTTATAAAAATGAGTGCGAATAAAATGTTTACCACAAGTCTCTTTTGGTGAGAAGTCATTTTTCTTATAGTGCATAATACTGACTTCAGATTCGCGCTCATTATTGAGGTTTTCAATTTCGACTTACTAAAGTTCATACATAAAAGTTTTTACTCACAAATGTGAATAAACCCAAAAGCAAACTTTTTGATATTGTGAAACCCGTTCTCTGTATATGATAAATCGTCAATGAAATGATCGATCAATGCTAAAGCGCTCACTGAGATTGTCAGTTTACAGGTCTATTATTTCCATCTGAAGATCAAAACTGGATCCCTGGATGTCAGAAAAGATCTAGTAGTCAGCACGTTAAAGTGTGTTCCTAACGCTCTAGTTAGTGATGGGAAGAAAAAATAGTTACTTTCCTAATGTCACTCAGATTGATAATTGAATATAAATCTCTTATTCTCTGAAGTAATTCCTCCGTACACATTTCTCGTGAAATCCAATGGCATACCGTAATTGCCCGACCGACATGACGTAGTCCTGTTTGGTGAAGACGCTGATAGTATGCAGTCTTATGGTAGCACTGAGCAACAATGCCAGAATCTTTGGAATGCGCTTCTCTCCCTCTAAATGCAAGTTGTTTCATCAAGACTCGCCTGCGTCAACACCTGAACTAAGGATAGGGAATGAAGCAGTCGAACGCGTTGACAACTTCACTTATCTTGGAAGTCTGATCAGCCCTAATGGGTTGGCGTCTGACGAAATCTCAGCACGGATTCGAAAAGCTCGTTTGGCTTTTGTCAACCTACGTCACCTATGAAAAAGGCGAGATATCCGTCAATCAATTTATTTACCGGATTCCCACTAGTTTTCCTTATGGTGTTCGATCTCGTCTCTTACACATAGCAGAAGCTATCGGAATCCGAGCCAACAAGCCAAGTCTTTGTGTTCAGAAGAAATTTGTAACTCCCTTATCTCTCCCTTGGCCTTAAGTAATAAATGAATTTATTTATTCCTTTTCTAACTTTCTCTTCGTTTATTATTTTTCTTCACACCCTCCTACCACTTTATTTTCTCTCAACTATACGTTTCATGGTCCAATTATCTGAACATTTCTTATTACGTCATCTTATAATTTTATAATTGTTATCTCAGTTTCTATATTTTTCTAATCATTGACCTATTTCAGATTATGTAACATTGATTTGAACCTTTATTATTATTGCTTATCAAAAACTAATGCACCTGTTGTCACACCATCAATTTGTACTTTTCACATTTTACTTATTATGTAATCGTTTTCATTGTTATCATTGACTTATAAACTACCTTGATTGGTTTAATAATTTCGTATATGCATATAAATATTACTGTATATTAGAGTAAAGCCTGATGAGGATCTAATCGAAAACAATATTGTTCGCTTATATATGTTGTTCTAAATCAATTAAGAGACGAGTATAATGCACAGCAGTTCATTCTGTTTTACTTTACGGCAGCGAAACATGGCCATTAAGAGTAGAAGATATTCGTAAGTTACTAGTACTTGATCACAGATGCCTTGGGAATATTGCTGGCATCTGCTGGGATCACCGGGTAAGTAATAGTGAGGTTAGACGCAGGGTATTAGGAAATGATGGTAGATCAGTTAATGAGGTTATGAATCTTCATCGACTGAGATGGTTGGGCCACGTATTACGTATGCCTGAACACCGATTACCACGACGCTCAATGCTAACCGGTGTTCGGGATGGTTGGAAGAAAGTTAGGGGCGGCCAAACCAAAACGTGGCATCAGTGCTTGAAGTCACTAACTTCTAGTCTGAGCCATGTTGGTAGATGCAGACTACTTGGTTGGGGTCCGCGTGACTCGTAACCAGTGGTTGGAGACTTTGGGTGACGTGGCTCAGAATCGATCACAATGGCGTCGGTGTATACACTCTCTGTCTTCCCTTAAAGTATGAGATTAAAATCGCTTTATATCTTTCTTTCTACGAACTAACTTCATGTACCGTCCTTATATGCAATCTTTTTTTATATATTACCACCACTACTTCTATGAATTTGGTGTTCATTTTGTTGTGCTAATGAGGTATGGCAACTTGGACAGATGCACATATGTACCTGGTCCTACGTTGTAGCTGACTGACTGACTGATACCGTAATTGGCTTACTAATAAAAAGGATACTGTATTTCAGTGTTCTATAAAAGGTAACAGTCAGTTTGTTTTTTCAGTCGCTCCTCATTTTACAAGTATAAGCAATAAGCTATTCAGGCATAACAATTGGCGTTGCAGTCACACCAATTGACAACCAGTCATAACAGTTTTGAGACTATAAGTTTGACTTGTTTTGTTAAGTGAAACATTTATTTAATCTTATTTGCTTTAAATCTTGTTTGTGAATGACAATGTAATTCAGCTTAGTGATTCAAATATTTGTAGGCTCCTCACCTATACGATTTCCAGTTTTGTGGTAATAAACTAGAGATTTTATGAATGCTATCAGACTTGTGAAACAATTTGTTATCATTATGATACACTAACCGATAAAATTGTTCAAAATTGTGTACTCTAAAGCATCTTGACACGCATCATAGTAATCCGTGGCAATAAGAGATATAAAAAAGGTGTCATGGCCAAGGTAGTAGATCGTCAAGTATTTTCAAATCAATGTTGATTATAATAATTGCAGTATAATGAGTATAAAGGCACTACTAAATAGTTGGTTTATTAAATCAAAAATGGTGGCAATAATAAGGTTAGCTTACATTTTAAATAAAAATAAATGCGATCTAACGGCCATTTCCGCCTCTTAAAATCGTGTAAATTGTTCGTATTAAGTTCCAACAGATTATTTGTTTTTGCATTCTAGAGCCTGGCTAAATCGGCACAAACTACTAGAACAAAATCTAGAAGAACAGCTATTTTTGCGTGACTGTGAACAAGCTGAGGATTGGATGGCTATTCGCGAAGCATCTTTAGCTGGTGATGATGTTGATGGGAATAAAGTTGATGCATTAATAAAGAAACATGAAGATTTTAACCGTGCAATCACCCTACAGGAGGTTAAGATACAGTCTTTGATGGCGAATGCTGATAAACTTCTGGAAGCTGATCATTATGATGCAAATGCAATTGAAGCTAAGCGTGGTGAGGTTTTAAATCGTTGGACTCACTTAAAAAATGCTATGATTGATAATCGTAGCAGGCTAGGAGACGTTCAAACGCTTCAGGCCTTCATTCGAGATGCTGATGAGATGGAGCTATGGATAAACGAAAAAATGCAATTTACAATGGACGAACCTTATAAAGATCCTACCACAAATATTCAGGCTAAACATCAGAAACATCAAGCTTTTGAAGCAGAGCTCGCTGCCAACGCAGAACGTCTCCAAGGCATTTTGGCAGCTGGACAACGTTTAAAGCAGAAGAGTGAGTCAGCCTATTTTTCGTCAATGATTTTCTTTTGAGATAATTTTATTTTCAAAGCTTATATGTCCTCTATTTCGTTGTAGATCAATGTATGGGACAGGAAAGTGCCGTTGAAGAACGTATCGCCAAACTCGCTAACCAGTGGGATAATCTTGTCAATCGATCTCACGAAAAATCCGAAAAGTTACAGGAGGCCAATCGTCAAGCTGCATATAATGCTGGTATTAAAGACATTGAATTTTGGTTAGGTGAAATGGAAACATCACTCGTTAGTCCCGATCATGGAAGAGATTCAGCATCTGTTGACAGTCTTCTGTCAAAACACCAGGTAGGTATATTTGTGTGGTATCTTACATGCATACATGTTGTCAACATCTAAGTCCCTATAGCAGGATGTTAATTTGCTTATTTGCATCACAACTTACTGCATGTATGGTGTAATCAGAAATAAGCTTTCTAAAAGGATGGTTGCCAAATAATCCTTGTTAGCTAGTTTTGTTTTCAACTTCAACTATTAGGTCCCGTGGACCCCATCATTTATTTGTTCGTAGCTGCTACCTCCCGGTTATCATTGGAGGCTCCTGCTCTTTCTAGAGGAAACATGAGTTCATGCATGTCTATACCTTACTGGACGTTAAAAGTGTAACAAGAATGCCTCTTTGAGATCAATTAGAAGATAAAAAAATCGAATACATTTAAAATAAAACCAACTAAGCAATGAGTCGGCCATATAGGAGACATTTATTCTGTAGTAGTCTGATGTGTTATGTAGTCCTCTGTAAAGACAGCAGTCAGACCTATTAATGATTCGAATCACAAAACTAATGTCAATGTATCTCAGAAGCCTCTTCTAAACTAATAGATCTTCAGATCTGTCCAGAACATTAAAATCAAAAATAGGTTTGATGTTGACTAATGGAAAGTCCGCTTAGTAATCGTGGACGGTGGTGGGGGACAAAAACAAAAGATAGCGGTCACAGATGATACTGTCCCGATTCACCATGAAGACAGCAATTGAAAAGTGAGGCGCTTATAGGAATGTAGAAGATAAATTCATAATCAACTCTCAGTCTACAAGATTAAAACCACGAGCAGAACACTCAATGAAATATTTCGACTGCTCTTTAATTACCTTCTGTTCCCGTACAACTTGACTGAAAAATTCACCTTGATCAGTATCTTAAACATGTACATTACTAACTGGCATCCAAAAATATTAGTATTTCATGACCTCAAGGGGACATTGAATTCCTTTGATCTAGAAATTTTGTGAGTGTTTGTCATTCGAAAGTGTGCCCAAGAAGTAATTTAACTTTGTTAAGACTCGTTACCCTAATGCATGTGAATTGGCAACCCCAAGTGTTCTCCAGGGCTGCTTACTATCCTTCTTTTTATTTAAGTTTGTCATAAACAGTCTTTTCCCGACCGTTGTTACTACCTTGACGTGGTGGTCGGGCTTGCCTATCGTGATGAAGCAACCGAGCTATACTGGCTGGAACAACCGTTCCTCAAGGTCCTACCATGTCAGACAGGTCGGTTGAAGAGCGGTAAGACTAAAAGCAACAAACCCAAGGTCCGAAGGCGAAGTCGTACTGCTGACTGTACAGAGGTGTGACAGCAGTAAGGTGTTTCCTTCAGACAACCAGCATGACAGCGATGCTGCCTTCCCACAAGGAGGGGTGGGGTTAGAAAAGGTCGACCCTAAAAATGCACACCTCGCCTTATCCCACGGATATCCGTCTCCGGCGGTAAGGTCTCAATAAGTACGGAGCTAACACAAAAATTACCCATAACAAGGTCGTGTGTGACCGACCTCAAGCAGTTGTCCCTTGGGCACTGCGGTCACGCTCTCAGTCACTAAGACCACCTCTAATCCAATTTCCTTTTCAGGTACCTCCAGAACAACCCTTCCACGGTGTGGGCAACCGGGAAGTGATAACCGCCCTCATACTTCTAACAGCACTCAAGTCCACTGTATTCATAATCAACCTCCTCTTCAATTCCTATTATTCCTCCTACATCGACTTTCAACTCTGTATTTCCTCTCTCGGCTTCCACCTCAAGTGTCACCGTAGCCAACGATTCTAGTGCGCAAAACACTGTCCCAGGTCTACTGAAACCTCGCTCCAAACTACACATTGGAGCCTTCAACGTACGCACCCTATGTCAAATCGGTCAGCAGGCTTCCTTGGCTAAAACCCTAGAGTCTCTTTCCATTGATGTATGCTGTGTCTCCGAAACACGCATACAGGATTCCAGTGTGGTCATTCACTTGACCTCACCTCGGCAAGACGGAGAGCCAACGAGATACACCCTTCGTGTGTCTGGTGACCCGATGGCAAGTTCTCGTGGACTGGCAGGTGTAGGCATAGCACTAAGCATGAGGGCCGAACAAGCACTGCTAGAGTGGATCCCCGTCAACAGTCGTCTATGTGCTGTTCGGCTGAACGGCTACGTAAGAACTCGGAAGGATAGGGACACACGTCGTTGCCTTTTTGTCGTTTCTGCCTACGCTCCCACTGACTGCAGCTCAGATGAAGTGAAAGATGAATTTTACAGAAAGCTATCCGAACTTCTTCAGAAAGCTAAACGCTCAGACATAGTACTCGTAGCAGGTGATTTTAATGCTCAGATAGGCAGTTTAAACCAAACAGAAAGGCATTTAGGTGGATATTTTAGTATTCCGACACAGCGAACAGATAATGGTGATCGTCTGCTGCAGCTATGCTCAGACAATCGTTTATTTTTAGCAAACACAAATTTTAAGCATAAGGAGAGACATCGTCTAACATGGCGACCCCCTACACCAAACCAACGATGGACTCAAATAGACCATATTGCCATCAGTCATCGTTGGAGAGGGTCGGTAGAAGATTGTCGCTCATTCTGGAGTACCTGCTTGGACTCCGACCATGCCCTAATACGGGCACGCATCTGCTTGCGCCTCACTGGACGCAAAAAAGCCACATTAAAAAGACCCATTAGAACTGAGTTGAGTAACGAGAAAACCAAAAGTAGGTTCCAGGAACAACTGAGGTCACACTTAGGTAGTTGTGAAGACGAGGCTGACCCAGATGTTGCTTGGAAGGACATACAAGCAGCTGTGGAAACAGCAGTGACATCTGTTAGTGACTTAAACCACAGAGTTACAAGGAACCAGTGGATTTCTTCAAGGTCTGTCACACTGATGGATTCTCGCAAACTCGTCCCATCAGGTTCTGAACATGATGAAGAGCGTAAACAAATCAGATCTAGGTTAAGAAAAAGTCTAAGGAACGACCGTGAGCAGTGGTGGGTAACGAAAGCAAAAGAGATGGAAAAGGCGGCGACTATAGGGAACACAAGACAGCTTTACAGACTAATAAAAGAAACTGGAATTAATAAGTCAAGTGTAAGTGAGATTATTTCGGAAAAAGATGATACTCTCATCTGCTCCCAGTCCAGACGTTTAGAACGATGGGCGGAACATTTTAGAGAACAGTTCAGCTGGCCTTCAGCTACTCTACAACTACCCTCCATTCCCAGACATGTGAATGGAACATTGAAGTAGGTCCCCCAACTCTTGCTGAAGTTGAGAAGGCTATAGTTAATCTGAAACGAGGAAGGGCAGCTGGTCCAGATGGATGGCTCCAGAGTCTTTAAGGATGGTGGTCCAATTTTAGCGACTAGGTTGACTAATATTTTAGCTAAAATCTGGGAGTTAGACGTTATCCCATCTGACTGGTCGCAATCACTTATCGTCCCAATATATAAGAAAGGGTCAAAATCATCCTGTGACAACCACAGAGGGATTAGTTTAACAAACATAGTATCTAAAATACTGGCCTCGATAATTATCAAACGCCTAACTAAGACTCGTGAACTACAAACACGAGAGAACCAAGCTGGCTTTAGACCTGGTCGTGGCTGCATCGACCACATATTCACCATTCGTCAGGTTCTAGAACACAGGCATACCTATCGGCGTCCGACGATGGTGGTCTTTCTTGACTTAAAAGCAGCATTTGACTCTGTAGACCGCGAGACTCTGTGGCAGTGTCTGTCATTGAAAGGCGTACCTCAGAAGTACATAAACCTTGTGAAGGCTCTTTACTCGAACACTACTAGTCGAGTCAGGGCTTATGGCGAACTGTCATCTACTTTTGCAACCTCAAGTGGTGTCCGTCAAGGCTGCCCACTTTCTCCATTTTTGTTTAACTTCATCATAGACCTATTGATGGAAATAACACTCTCGTCGACTGAATTCTCGGGTATTGATCTCCTTCCAGGAGGTCCACTTATCGACTTAGAATATGCAGATGACATAGTCCTGTTTGGTGAAGACGCTGACAAAATGCAGAGTCTTCTGGTAGCACTAAGCAACAATGCCAGAATGTTTGGGATGCGCTTCTCTCCCTCTAAATGCAAGTTGTTGCTTCAGGACTGGTCTGCGTCAACACCTGAACTAAGGATAGGGAGTGAAGTAGTCGAACGAGTTGACAACTTCACTTATCTTGGAAGTCTGATCAGCCCTAATGGGTTGGTGTCTGACGAAATCTCAGCACGGATTCGTAAAGCTCGTTTGGCTTTTGCCAACTTACGTCACCTTTGGCGGAGGCGAGATATCCGTCTATCAATAAAAGGACGAGTATACTGCGCGGCAGTCCGTTCTGTTTTAATTTACGGCAGCGAAACATGGCCCTTAAGAGTAGAAGACACCCGTAAGCTACTAGTATTTGACCACAGATGCCTTAGAAATATTGCTGGCATCTGCTGGGATCACCGGGTAAGTAATAGTGAGGTTAGACGCAGGGTATTAGGGAATGATGGTAAATCAGTTGATGAGGTTATGAATCTTCATCGACTGAGATGGTTGGGCCACGTATTACGTATGCCTGAACACCGATTACCGCGACGTGCAATGCTAACCGGTGTAGGGGATGGTTGGAAGAAAGTTAGGGGCGGCCAAACCAAAACGTGGCATCAGTGCCTGAAGTCACTAACTTCTAGTCTGAGCCATGTTGGTAGATGCAGACTACTTGGTTGGGGTCCGCGTGACTTTCGTAACCAATGGTTGGAGACCCTTGGTGACATGGCTCAGAATCGATCACAATGGCGTCGGTGTATACACTCTCTGTCTTCTCTTAAACTAAGAGATTAAGATCACTTCACATCTTTCTTTCTACGAACTAATTCTTTCTTCCTATACTATATCCTTATTGCAATCTTTCTCCTATATATTACCACCTTTGACCTAACCACTCCTATGAATCCGGTGTTCATCTTGCTGTGCTAATGAGGTATGGCAACCTGGGCCGATGCATACATGTGCCTGGTCCTACGTTGTAGCTGACTGACTGACTTACTAAACAGTCTTTTAACAATAACGCATTCTTCGCTTAGTCTATCTGCAAACTCACCAGTTTAGGACAAGAATATGACTTTATTTATTTATTTATTTTAACACATAGATATTGGTACAAGGAGGCACCAAATACATATGCGCCACACAAATCTCATTTGATATGTGTGAGGGCTGTGATACTGCCCGGACACCCATACCGAAGCAGGAGAATATGACTTAGTTATGTTAGATCCAGATACTGACAAAATGCATAGCAGTGTAAATGTCATTTTTATCTTCAAATATGTTATTGATCATCACTTTCCTTTGTCGATACACCCTCTGAACCGTACCAATCCAATTTTATTTAGTGTTTCTAGTTATCGTAACTAAGCAAATTCGTCCTCACCTTTCGTGGCTGATGTGTCAATTGTCAGTGTGTAATTTTCCTTTACATCTTCCCTTTGAGTGACATGATTCCAGTCTAACAATTCTCGCTCACTAAAGTTGTCTACTAAAATTTTTACAATTATTAACCTTTCTTGACTCAGAAATTTCGAACTAGTTTCGGTGTTATGCTTGAACAACTTATTGGTTTGCAGTCGTACCAATTATACTATATCGGGAAATTTCACTCAACCTAGTTGCTGAAAGTTTTTCATTTTTAAGTAGTTATTTCTGTAGCATCGTATTATTCACTGACCGACTTCGTTTTTTTCACGTCATAAAAATATTCTTATTTTGTACTTACTTACACCTGTTACTCCTAGTGGGGAATCATAAGTCGCCCATCAGCATTCTTCATCCAACTCTGCACTGGGCAATCCTTCCCAGTTGCTATTCATTCTTTCGACGTCTGATTCCAATTCTCGGCTCAGTGTTCTTTGATCTCCCCTTTTCTTTTTCCCTTTAAGATCCCAAGTTAAAGCTTGCCTCATAATCCACTTCGATGATTTCTACAATGTATGTCTTATCTACTTCCAGCGTCTTTTCCTAATTTCCTCTTCACCTGAAAGCTGGTTTGTTCTCTCCCAGTGAAGGCTGTTGCTGATGGTATCCGGCCAATGGATGTTGAGTATCTTGTGTAGACAACTGTTTATAAATACTTCTACATTTTTGATGATGGTTTTGATAGTTCTCGAAGTTTTAGCACCGCACAGTAGAACTGTCTTGACGTTCGTATTGAAGATTGTGACTTTGGTATTGGTTGAAAGTTGTTTTAAGTTCCATATTTTCTTCGATTGTAGGAATGCTGTCCTTACTTTGTCAATCCTCGCCTTTGAGTCTGCATCAGATCCTCCATGTTCATCGATGATGCTACTCAGGTACGTGAAAGTTTCCTCCTGTCACAGAATTTCTCCGTCAAAAGTGATTGTATTGGTGTTCTCCATGTTGCATTTGAGGATCTCGCTTTTTCCCTTGTGTATATTGAGGCCTTCTGATTCAGAGGCTTCTGTCACACTGGTTGTTTTGACCTGCATTTATTGGTGTAAATGTGATAGAAGCGCTAGGTCATCTGCGAAGTCCAAATTGTCTAGTTGCATTCAGGCTATCCATTGTATTCCGTGCTTTCCCTCAGATGTCGAAGTCTTCATAGTCCAGTTGACTAGAAAAAGAAAGAGGAAGTATGAGAGTAAATGGCCTCGTCTGATTCCGGTCCTTACTTGGGATGCGTCTGTCAACTGTCCTCCGTGCACCACTTTGCAGTGTAGTCCTTTGTATGAATTCCGGATGATGTTAAAGATTTCCTCAACTACTCACACCATAGTGTCGAAGAAGTTTCCATAAAGTCTTACTATCCTCACTGTCGAATGCTTTCTCATAGTCAGGGAAGTTGATGTATAGTGACGAGTCCCATTCAATTGATTGCTCAACGATGATAATCCGTAGTGTCGCGATTCGGTCTGTGCATGACCGATCTTCACAGAATCCAGTCTGTTGATCTCGAAGCTGTGCGCCTATTGAATCTTTCATTCTGTTGAGCAACACTCTTGAAAACCTTTCCTGGTAACTATAGTAGTGTGATTTTTCTGTAGTTTTCACATTTGCTCAGATCTCCTTTCTTTGGTGTTTTGACGAGTTGTTTTTCTTTCCATTTGATCGGCACTTGTTCTTCCTCTCAAATCTTCCTGAATAGAGTGAAACATATTTCCAATCACTTCTATGTCTGACTTCAGTGCTTTAGGTGGTAAGTTGTCGGGTTCTGATCCCTTCCCACACTTTGTCTGACGGCCACCCTGAATTCTTCGATCATTGGTGCATTGACAGCTATAAGGATGTCTGCTTGTGCTGTTTCGATATCCTGTGGTTTCAGTACAGCTGGCCCATTCAAGAGTTCCTCAAATTGTTCTACCCATCTGTTCCTCTGTTCTTGAATCTCAGTGATTGGCTTACCTTCTTTGTTTTGACCGGTTTCTAGTTTACTATATTTCCCTTCTAGTTTCTTCGTTGTGTCATATAGTTGTTTGATATTCCCTATCCTATAAGTGCATTTCGTGCCTCTTTGGATAGCATCAGAGCAACTCCCTGAGTGTGTGGAGCATTTCCCTCTTCGTGACCGGAGTACAGCAACATCGCTCCCGTACTTCGCTGTCCAGCTTGGGTCCAATGGGTTTCGCGGATTCCGAGCACTGCTAGGCTGTATCTCCTCATTTCCATAGCTATTTGGTTGATCCTCTCGACCTCCCACATTGTACGGACGTCCCATGTATCTATAAAAGTTGTTGCTGTGGTTGTTGGAAGGATCATCGACCTCGTGATTTCTGAAGAACCTCGGTTTTCATCATGAGGCGTCATAATTCTTCCTTCAACTCAGAGGACAGAATTTAGGTAGTTTAATTTGTTTATCCTGGTTACCGTTTTTTAGCAAGTTTGTTTTTTACAGAATGGGGTTGCCGACTCAACGCCAAACCCTCCTTTACTCGGGTTTGGGATTGGCAACAGCATTAGAAGAGCTACAGGCGGAATTTTTCTTTTTTGTAGTGACCTAATAATAATATTAAGAGTAATCAAGTGGTACATTCGTTTTGAGTGAAAGTTTTATTATCATGTCGTTCGCACTGAAATACTGTTGTGTAAACTGTAGAAGTTCTTGTCATTTTTCTCTTAGCATTCAAAACCTGATGGAGGTCAAATGATAATAGCATTGAAAGCAAACGGTTTCTTTTACACAGATTTACCACTGGCATAATATTTGCTAATCTTTCTTACTCTTGTAAGAGTGGTTTGTTCTACAGCTCAACACACATTTTATTAATTTCAGTAAACAAATAAAAACTACATTCTAATAAGGTGAATCGGTTGAAGCACTTAAATTTCGATCACTGTGCTGTAAGTTCAAACTGTTCTGATTTGGTTTGTGTAAGCAGTTATTTTCTTTGATCTTCACGCAAGTATGACTCAAAGCTTAATAAATACAGTTGTCATTAGTAAATGAGTTATATCATTATTCATCATTTTGTTTTATGTTTGTATAATTCACTTTATAAAATTGAAAGAAATGTTCAACTAAATATTTTCATGTTTCATAACTTTTTAAGAAAAACAATCCTAACGATTTTTTGCGTACTTCTTTTGTTATTCTCATTCTCACATATGGTGAGTCACTGTTTTTTATCATGTTATTATACATATTTCACTACTCTTTATTCTCAGGTACTTGTTACTGATATTCGAGCCCATGAAGATCGTATTAAGGAATTAGATGCACGCGCAGATGAGTTTATTAGGTCCGGTGCTTGGGATGCTGATATGGTCCGTGAGCGCAAAAAAATGATTAATGAACGATATGAAAAGGTAAATGATTTATTACATTAAAAGAATCGGTATATTATAGAATTATCAGTGCCTTTTTGTGTTCATCCCTTTGTTCTGTTTGATATTGTGACGACAAGCAGCTTATTACTATAGTGCTCTTTATGACCTAATCACTGATCGTTTGTAATAAACCTTATAGATTCTGGATATGTCAGAAAATCGCGCTGTAACGCTTGGCAAGGCTAAGCGTTTGCATGATTTTTATCGCAATATTGACGATGAAGAAGCTTGGATCCGTGAAAAAAAGATTTTGGTTAGTTCAGAGGATTATGGACGTGATCTTATTGGAGTACGCAACCTACGCAAAAAGCATGAACGAATTGAAAATGAGGTAGCAGCTCATGATCCATTCATCAAACAAGTTATTGAACAAGGAGAGGAACTTACTGTTGGTGTTCAACTTGCTGATCCTGAGGAAATAAAAAAAAGAATTCAGGTGAATTTATAATAATAATAGTTATTATTATTTCTTCAAACACATGAATTCATAAACTAACTTTTCTGGTTTACTTCATAAGTCTACTGAAAAATCGACAACTTTCTTAAAACACAAATTGAGTACTGTCATCAAATTTTAACTCTGATGGTATTATGTTTTCCCGGTCCGAGTCCTTCACATTATACTTTTAGCGCTGACTCGACGAACTACGCAGAGCGAGACGACTAAGAATCTTTTGAGAACCAAAATAATGCACATAGTTCATGTATATACTTAACATTTACTGGATTGGTCTGAATAGGAATATATAAGTGGGAGTAAGGCTAGGTAAATAATTTGCTTACTTATAATGTCCTTCCCACGCTTACATTCCCTACTTGCTATGTCCCTTTGAAGGAGCCTGTGATCTGTCTAGAATCTCTAGGTAAACTATTTACTACCCGTATCAAACTTGTTGATCTATATCTCTTTTTCTCGTTCATATTTTGCTGCTATTTAGTGTATATAGTTCATACATGACCATCTGAAGTATCAGAATGTTCTCTCAATCTGTAGAACGTTGCTTAGTTCAGTCATAAATATAGTTTGTATACAAGACTGGAGTGTTTAGTGGCACTTAAGTTATATATATCGTATCTGTTCATTTTCCATATGACAAAATGTGTTCTACTAAAGATTGTCCATAATCCCGATAAATAATTAGATTAGTTTTCTTTTTGGAGTTATCAGTAATAAAGTCGAGTTATAAGCGAAAAGATAAGTTGGCGTGTACTCTTTTCATATTAACTTAGTCCTAGATGTATATCACGTACCCGGCTCTAAGATTCTGTCGATCATTCAGTCAGCTACAAAGTAGAACCAGGCACATATATGCATCGGTCCAAGTTGCCATACCTCAATAGCACAGCAAGATGAACACCGGGTTCATAGAAGCAGTTAATTCAATGGTTTATATATAAAAGAGAGATTTAGTATAAGGTTATAGTACGGGAAGAGAGAATTAGTTCGTAGAAAGAAACATGAAGAGATTTTAATCTCATAGTTTAAAGGAAGATAAAGAGTATATACACCTATGCCATTGTGATCGATTCTGAGCCATGTCATCCAGAGTCTCCAACCATTGGTTACGAGTCACGCGGATCCAACCAAGTAGTCTGCATCTACCAACATGGCTCAGACTAGAAGTTAGTGACTTCAGGCACTGATGCCACGTTTTGGTTTGGCCGCCCCCAACTTTCTTCCAACCATCCCGAACACCGGTTAGCATTGAGCGTCGTGGTAATCGGTGTTCAGGCATACGCAACGCGTGACCCAACCATCTCAGTCGATAAAGATTCACAATCTCATCTGAAGCTAACCTGATTTTCTCGTGTTTGCCAAAGATTTTGTACAATAGTTTGAAAGCACTAATCTGTCAATTTTTCAATTTTTTTCAAGCGTCTCCAAAGCGCGTGGGAAGAATTGCAAGGTCTTACAGCACTTCGACGACAGAAATTAGAAGAGTCATTGGCATATCAAGACTTTATTGACGGAGTAGAAGAAGAGGAGGCTTGGATTCTCGAGAAACAACATTTACTTAGTAGTGAGGATTATGGTGATACTCTTGCTGCTGTGCAAGGCCTTTTAAAGAAGCACGATGCCTTCGAAACAGATCTTAATGTAAGTAAAACTTTTATTGGCAATCTTTTTGTTTGGGAGTTGACTGATTTATTTTTCTATTACAGATACATAATGAAAAGTGTAAAGAACTTTGTTTAACTGGATCTGATTTGGTGCAATCTGAGAATCATAATCGTTTGTCTATTCAGCAACGATGTGAAGGATTGATGGAAAAATTGAATGCACTCAATCAGGCTGCCCAACGTCGCAAAACAAATCTTACTGACAACTCGGCGTTTTTACAGTTTATGTGGAGAACGGATGTCGTTGAATCTTGGATAGCTGATAGGGAAACGCAAGTACGTAGTGATGATTACGGGCGAGATTTAAGCAGTGTTCAAATTTTGCTGGCGAAACACGCAACTTTTGACACAGCGTTGGAATCTTTCCACACAGAAGGAATTCAAACAATTACTGAACTTCACGATCGCCTTATCGCAGCAGAGCACAGTCAGAGTCCAGCCATTAAGCAACGGTTAGTAGTAAACTGTTCATTAAATAGTTCATTATATACACAGTACTTTATTTCTGCTTCAAAAAATAATATCACTTGTTCTTAACATATTATTGATTTCAGTTTCACCTCGCTAATGGATCGTTGGGAACGTCTACGTCGTGAATCTGCCCGTCGCAAAGCTGATCTCATTCAGCTTCAAGAACAATATCGAAAGGTTGAAGAACTTTATTTGGCGTTCGCTAAGCGGGCATCAACCTTCAACTCTTGGTTCGAAAATGCTGAGGAGGACTTAACTGACCCCGTGCGTTGTAATTCGTTGGATGAAGTTCATGCACTTTGTGAAGCTCAAGAGCAGTTCAAAGCATCTCTCAAAGCTGCAGAGGCTGATTTTCAACAATTAGCCCAATTAGATCGCGAAATCAAAAGCTATGGCGTAAGTACTTATCGTACGATGGCATTCATGTGTATATTCCTCTACAAGTAACTTTTTTGGATTGAAGAACTTAACTAGAATACTCTGTGCTAAATAACAGTGGCAAATCATAGATTTCAGTTGCTGATCACGAGAATCTACCATCATTGTAGGTACAATAAGAAACTACAACTCATTTTCTCACTTTTCATTCCTACGATTTTTGTGTCTAACATTATTTTAAGATAGAATAACCGGTTCATGAAACATTTAATTCAAGTTAACATCTGATAACATCACTTGACCCAACATAGAGGACCAAACAATTCGAATATCTGATATGATATGGCGTTTAGAAAAAGATGGTCCGTTAATCTATTAAAATCGTTCTTAAACGTTTATTTGTTGGACAGTGATGACAGTCGCGTTCATCCCATTGGTTCATATTAAACTAATATGTTACGTTCACCTTTTCTGATATGATCAACGATAAACATTATGACGTTCGCTCCATTTCATTTCTCTTCATGTTTGTTGGAGAAAATCGAGGAGTTAATATTAGCCATCTATGATAAGTTAATCTCATTAGAAAATGTCAGATGCTGAGTAACTAAAGAAAGCTCAACTAGCTCTCTCAAACAATTTTTAAGGCGTAGACTTGTGAAACAAGCTCATTTAAAGTTGATTTTAGTAATGAAAGACACTAGTTAACAAATCTCTATTCGATGGGTTTTGTGGATATTATAGTAACTTCAGTGGTTAAGATCATGAGTCAGTTGAAGCTAGACCACCATGGAAAACCTGGAAGCACTGGACAGCCGTTTCGTCCTATTGTGGGACTCCTCAGCAGTGCGCATCCACGACCTTGCCCCCTGAGAGGAGGCGCTTCTGCGTAATAAACAATTCAAAACTAAAGAAAAAGTATAACTGTACTGTTTGGTTTATTTAAAATTATCTTTAATTATGAGCCATCATTTAAAAGTTTTCTGAATTTTTATTTAAAATTGGACAGTCAAATGGATACAACGAACTATGTACTATTCCAACTTTCCTACTCGACTACTTTTTACTTATGTAATGAAGGATGGTATTTAAATTCTGTCATATTTATTTTTACTTCGTTTGCTAAATATTACCACAGATTCTTTTCTATCATATTTCTAAGGTTGGCATGAATCCGTACACTTGGTTTACAATGGAGTCACTTGTGGAAACTTGGCGTAACTTACAGAAAATCATTTTAGAGAGAGATGCTGAACTTCGACGTGAAACGGTTCGACAAGAGCAGAATGACCAGCTTCGTCAACAATTTGCAGTAGCAGCTAATTCTTTCCATCAATGGCTGCAGGTAAGTAGTGAATAGCTTCTAAAAATTGTAGCCAAATTTATGGGTTTAAAATTCCTATAGTATATAGCTGTAACCACTATTTGTTGTTCACTAGGTGCTACTTTTCTTTACTCGCTACATATGTATGCATGATGTATTGACTGTTTTATAAAATTGGTTCTCATTACAGAAAGTTCGAACATCGATGATGGAAGCCAGTGGAACTCTAGAAGAACAGTTAGAAGGTATTCGGGAAAAATCTTCAGAAGTTAGAGCCCGCAAAAACGATTTGCGAGAGGTTGAAAATTGGGTACTTTGTGGAAGAACATCTCATTCTGGATAATCGATACACGGAACATAGTACTGTAAGTTAATACCTTTTTTCGATTTTTGTCACTACTTTTGTTTCCAATTAATAAATGTAACTTTACGATTACAATTATTTTCAGGTCGGTCTAAGTCAAGCTTGGGACCAGTTAGATCAACTTGCGATGCGTATGCAACACAATTTAGAACAACAAATCCAGGCTAGAAATGTTAGTGGAGTAAGCGAAGAGGCACTTCGCGAGTTCTCTATGATGTTCAAACATTTCGATAAAGATAAATCTGGGCGTTTGGATCATCGCGAATTTAAATCATGTTTACGTGCACTTGGCCATGATTTGCACGAGGTTGGAGAAGGTCAAGTAGATGCTGAGTTCGAATCTATATTAAACGTGGTGGATCCTAATCGTGACGGTTACATAACGCTTCAAGAGTTTATGGCATTCATGATAAGTAAAGAAACTGAAAATGTTCAGTCTCGTGACGAAGTCGAAGAAGCCTTCCGTGCATTAACTAAAGAAGGAAAAGAATACATCACCAAAGAAGAGCTATATGCGGTGCGTCTTAGTCATTTAACTTGATTTTATTCTGTCTATATTTATTCAACTTCGCTAAGTATATATGTACACCATGTATGGTTAATCATATACCAGTTGTATCTATAATGGTTTGCTCTAAAAGTTGACCACGTGAAATATATTACCTTGTTTTAAGTGTTGAGTTTCGGAGTCCATTTTTATTTCGTTATAGAGTGTTCTAATATGTTAGCGAGAAATTTAGCATCAGTCAGTTTGACGAAGTTCTATATATGCTGTATTAGTTTCTCCGACTACGTTAAAATAGGTTTACTATTTACTATTATATATATATATATATATATATATATATATATATATATATATATTCGAGGCTTTATTTTTGAAATAACTATGGAATTTAAATATAACATTACTATTCGAATTATGTGCGTACAATAAACTCACTTTGAATATGAGCAGATAATTGCAAAAGTAGCTATTCTTTGTCTAAACAGCTTTGTATCTGTCCGGTCATTTTTTTTCGTTTTTTGCTTCTATAAATTCATTTTTTTATATTACAGAACTTATCCAAAGAGCAGGCGGAATATTGCAGTCGAGTCATGCCTCCATACTACACTAAAAGTGGTCAGGCAATTTTGGATGCCTACGACTACCAAGCCTTTACGAGACAACTTTTTGTGAGCTAGTTACAACAAGCTGATTTTAGTTGGTTTCTGCGCTTTCGTTATATAATTTTCTTGGTTTCATTTTCGCTTACTCATTCGCTCAGTTTCGCCTAAGTTGCAACTGTTTCTGGTTTTAATTTCATTACTGATTTCATGTTGTGGCGTACTTTTTATAGCTTCCTGAAATCCAAAATCATATTTAATGCACTTTCATATTGTTGTGAAATGTTAGATTTAGTTTCAATTTTAAAGTCTTGTGATCAAAATTTGTTTTCTGGTTGGTTACCATTCGCACCTACATTTAATTTTCAGTTTTCACAATAAATTAATAGATCATAATTCCATTTTTATTTTTATTTTTCCGGCTCATTAAAGTATGAGCAGATATAAGGCTTCAAAACAGTTTTCCTTAAGCCGTAGTTGTTTGTCATATTTTACTAATCGGAAAATGCACTTTTAGTACACCGTATTACACAATATGAATCAGACCTTCGTTTTCCACCATTTTACCTCTTATTGAACAAATAACATCCACTACTTTTTCTGTGAATGATTGCTGTTATAAATTTAATCGTATATAGAATATTAGTATCATACAAAAAAATCATCTAATGAAGTAGTTTATTGTAACTTAATTTTTTTATTACTTAATGAGAAATTAATAACAACACAGCGAAGAAAATTTCTCTCGACGACATCATTTCCTCGATCTGTACAGTCTTAATTCAGCTGAAGTCTGTCGAAAAAGAGTAGGAGAATTACGTGATTTCAAGTGCCAAACGAGTTTTGTGCAACGGTCAGTAAGTTAGAGAATAATGATAAGATGTATTCGTGTATATCAATCAGTCGATCACAGCTGAACGCCTGATGAACAGCAGAAACTGAGATAGTATTGCTGAAGGTCCATACCGAATTAAGACAACAGAGATCAGTGTATTTTAGATTCATATCTCGGACCACAGTTCCATATGAAAGTCAATCAGCTACAACGCAGGACCAGGCATCGATCTAAGTTGTCATACCTAATTAGCCAAAAAAAACACAGCGTCCAGAATTGCAAGCAGACATAAAATGGATGAATGGCGACGGGAAGGATTGTCCAAAACAAAGCTGGTGGGCGGCCTATGCTCCTCCACGAGGGGCAACAGGCGTAAGTAGGTAATTAGCATAAGAAAATAAACACCATATTCATAGAAGCAGTTACTTCAATGGTAGTAATATAAACAAAAGAAAGACTGCATGTAAAGATATGATGCAGCGAGAAACAATTAGCTCATAGGAATGAAAGTGTATGTGTAATTTTAATCTCACTATTCAAGGGAAGACAGAGTGTATACACATACACCATTGTGATCGATTCTGAGCCATGTCACCCAGAGTCTCCAACAATTGGTTATTGCTTATACTTGTAAAATGAGGAGCGACTGAAAAAACAAACTGACTGTTACCTTTTATAGAACACTGAAATACAGTATCCTTTTTATTAGTAAGCCAATTACGGTATCAGTCAGTCAGCTACAACGTAGGACCAGGTACATATGTGCATCTGTCCAAGTTGCCATACCTCATTAGCACAACAAAATGAACACCAAATTCATAGAAGTAGTGGTGGTAATATATAAAAAAAAGATTGCATATAAGGACGGTACATGAAGTTAGTTCGTAGAAAGAAAGATGTGAAGTGATCTTAATCTCTTAGTTTAAGAGAAGACAGAGAGTGTATACACCGACGCCATTGTGATCGATTCTGAGCCACGTCACCCAAAGTCTCCAACCACTGGTTACGAGTCACGCGGACCCCAACCAAGTAGTCTGCATCTACCAACATGGCTCAGACTAGAAGTTAGTGACTTCAGGCACTGATGCCACGTTTTGGTTTGGCCGCCCCTAACTTTCTTCCAACCATCCCGAACACCGGTTAGCATTGAGCGTCGTGGTAATCGGTGTTCAGGCATACGTAATACGTGGCCCAACCATCTCAGTCGATGAAGATTCATAACCTCATCAACTGATTACCATCATTTCCTAATACCCTGCGTCTAACCTCACTATTACTTACCCGGTGATCCCAGCAGATGCCAGCAATATTCCCAAGGCATCTGTGATCAAGTACTAGTAACTTACGAATATCTTCTACTCTTAATGGCCATGTTTCGCTGCCGTAAAGTAAAACAGAATGAACTGCTGTGCATTATACTCGTCTCTTAATTGATTGACGGATATCTCGCCTTTTTCATAGGTGACGTAGGTTGACAAAAGCCAAACGAGCTTTTCGAATCCGTGCTGAGATTTCGTCAGACGCCAACCCATTAGGGCTGATCAGACTTCCAAGATAAGTGAAGTTGTCAACGCGTTCGACTGCTTCATTCCCTATCCTTAGTTCAGGTGTTGACGCAGGCGAGTCTTGATGAAACAACTTGCATTTAGAGGGAGAGAAGCGCATTCCAAAGATTCTGGCATTGTTGCTCAGTGCTACCATAAGACTGCATTCTATCAGCGTCTTCACCAAACAGGACTACGTCATGTCGGTCGGGCAATTACGGTATGCCATTGGATTTCACGAGAAATGTGTACGGAGGAATTACTTCAGAGAATAAGAGATTTATATTCAATTATCAATCTGAGTGACATTAGGAAAGTAACTATTTTTTCTTCCCATCACTAACTAGAGCGTTAGGAACACACTTTAACGTGCTGACTACTAGATCTTTTCTGACATCCAGGGATCCAGTTTTGATCTTCAGATGGAAATAATAGACCTGTAAACTGACAATCTCAGTGAGCGGTATAACATTGCATTTAGAGGGAGAGAAGCGCATTCCACACTATTATATCCTAGTGAAGTTTATATTACGTGCAACGTCTTAGACCTATTTACGGGCTTATATTGTTTAGATACCCTTATAGTATAACTATTCAGTAATTAGCTTTTATATATCTATATTCCCCTTGTTATAAGCTTTATTTTGACTTATAATTTATTATTGTACGATTTAGTGTTCTTAAGCTATGTTCAGTTTATTGACTACTGCCTCCCACATTCACAGCCACTTTTTGGCTTCATTGTGTACGAATGTTATTTCCTATTTTATGCTGCGTTGCGGTCTGTTTGTTTGGCATATAAACCCAGTGTGTCTGAAATAAATGATTCGCTTAGTGGAGGCTGTTATTGCCATTCTGGACTCAGCTGGACGGGCTAGGCGAGCAACGGATCAATAGGACGCTAGGCTGATCAGACCGGTCGAACGTCATTGGTTTAGTACAGTATAAGAGCGAATAAGTCGTATTTTGATTGGAGAATAGATTACGTGATAACAAGCGGCTCATAAAGTCACAACCTAAACATTCTGGCATTGTTGCTCAGTACTACTAAAAGACTGCATTTTATCAGCGTCTTCATCAAACAGAACTATATCATCTGCGTATTCTAACTGGATAAGTGGACCTCCTGATAAAAGATCATCCCTGAAGGTTCAGTCGACGAGAACGTTTTTTTCGGTCAGTAGGTCTATGATGAATTTTTACAAAAATGGAGATAGTGGACAGCCTAGATGGACACCACTTGAGGTTGTAAAATCAGGTCCCAAATGCCCTGGTATGGCCAGTTGAATCCCCATTAACAGTCGGTTATGTGCTGTTAGATTAGAAAGTTCTATCAAACTGAGAGGAAATCGGCGTGAGAAACGATGTCTTTTCGTTATCTCTGCCTATGCCCCGACAGATTGCAGCCTGGATGCAATCAGGATGAATTCTTCCACCAGCTAACTGTTCTTCTACAGAAAGTGCGTTCGATAGATATTTTAGTACTAGCCGGAGATTTGAATGCTCAGGTCGAGCGTCTAGGCACAGAAGAAAGTCGTTTAGGTGACCGATGGGGACTTGTTGGTCGCAGAACAGATAACGGGGACCGTCTACTGCAACTGTGCACAGCACACAACCTGTTTCTGGCTAGCACTAACTTCCGGCACAGTCATCGCCGATGTGCCACCTGGCGTCCTCCCTCTGCATCTCAAGCCTGGACTCAGATTGATCACATCGAGATGAGCTACCGCTGACGTGGTTGAGTAAAAGACTGCCGCTCCTTTTGGAGTACCTATCTGAACTCTGATCATGCCGCGGTCAGCAAATTGGTTGCAACTAAGTATCGAACCGAGCTATTTTCTAGGCTAGCTACCATTCCACCGAAAAGTATAAGTGAGAATTGGTTGCAGTCGCATGACACCATAGAAATTGAGAGTAAAGCCGCTTGCGGCTGCGCGAGACGTCCCGCTTATAAGCACTGGGTTTCTTCTGGTCCTTTACAACTCATCGAACCCGTCGGTCTACTCCGCGTGAGTGTGAATTTGACCACAAACGACGACTGTTACGTAATGAAATCGGGCAAGGCTTGCTTAAGGACCGGGAAGCTTGTTGCTCGCAGCGTGCTAATGAGCTGGAAGCAGCAGCTGCGTCTGGTAATTACCGGAAGCTCTTCCAACTCATCCGAGCCACTAGCAGCAAGAAGTCTGATGTGAGTGAAACAATCTGTGAAGATGACGGGGTGCCAATTAATAACATCTGTCGACGTCTTGGGCGATGGGCAGTTTTTCGTGGAGCAGTTCAACTGATGTGTTGCTCCGGCAACATTGATCAAACTTTACTGCCCTCCATGGCCGGAGACGACCGATCAACCAAATGAGGCGGAAGTCCGCAAGGAACTTCAACTCTTAAAGCGCTACAAATCGCCGGGCTAATATGACTTGCCTCCGGCTCTTTTTAAAGATGGTGGTGACTTCGTGGTTAAGGAACTGACAACGCTGTTTACAAATATCTGGGATCTAGAGAGTGTACCAACGTCATGGAATGAGCCGATAGCTGTCCCTATTTCTAAAAAGGGTTCGCGTCGTTCCTGTAACAATATCGGGAGATAAATCTGTTTCCGATTGCGTCCAAGCTACTGGCTTCCGTCATACTTTGTATGTTGTTCAAAACCCAAGGAAGATTGACTCGCGAGGAGCAGGCTGGTTTTCGTTGTGGTCGAG